TTAACATGCCTCAAAACAGTGCGATCTACTTGCAAGAATTGATTGCTACGATTTATCCAAAAATCAGATTTTGGGTAAAGCAGCAGCAAGGAAACAGTTTATGGGGTTATGAGGATTGGTTATAGTGTTTTTTCAATGACATTAGATCTCCAAGGAATCCGCAACAACGATGACTTTGTTGATCCATCTATAAAGCAAATAAGTATATTTCATCAAGTCAAGGTATCTATAGTCTTTCACTGCCACGGCTTATTACTATGCATCGTCGGGGACCACCCGAATCTCTTGGTGTGGAACCCGTATTTGTGTGAAGCTACGTGTATCCAAGCCAGAAACAATTCCCAAGCCATAAATAGTTCCATCATAATTGACAAGTATACTCTTGGATACGACAACAACAACCATAACCACAAAATCTTGGAAAAAACCTCATTTTCTTGTTCGAAATCTATGATTTGTACTCCAAGTCATGGAAGGTTCTTGATGTCACACTCGAGTGGGATATATGGTCTGATGGATGCGACAGTGTGTCTTTGAAGGGAAATACTTATTTTTTTGCTGAAAAGAAAATAAAGTATATGGAGAGAATTGAAATGTTTTTACTATGTTTTGGTTTTACAACATTGGACCGCGTCTTCCTCTACCAGTTCAGTACTCTAACTCTAGTCTTTTAGATGTGATTTTATCTTGTGTTAGAGACCATATATCAACCCAACGAGCCATCTGACCTAATTGAAATTTGGATTACTACTATGATTGAGCCCAATGCGGTATCCTGGGAAAGGTTTTTGAAAGTGAATATGACATCTCTCAAAGGGTTTCCGTATCAATTTTATGCTGGGAGTTTCTTCATTGACAAGGAGGAAAAGCTCGTTATGGTTTTCCATGTCGATGGAAATAAACAGACCGAGACATGTTACTACCAAACAGCTTACATCATTGGAGAATGACATAAACAGACCGAGACATGTTACTACCAAACAGCTTACATCAAATCAAATCATTGTACCTCATATTGATTTTGTTTCTCTTACTGTTACGTGTGTTGCAAGAATGATATAGTAAAACGTGACTTTTTTTGTCACAGTAAAACGTGATTTTAAGGATTAAGTATCAGATTAGACCAGAATCGAAAACCTATATATAAATATAAATTGTTTCCTGTTTTTTTTTTTTGATTAATCTTATCTGTTATGATGAGGTACGTACACTTCAATTTTGACCGACTATGGATATAAGTCGGCTAAATCACTGTTTAATGAGAAGATAATTAGAGGATCTCTTATTAGTTTCCCCCTATAACAACTTAATTTCCTTTTGTTTTTAGTATCGGTTTACCATGAGTTATAGAACCATTGGGAGAGAGTTTTTATTTTTTTAAGTCGGTGACACCTAAATTATTTATCTATATATAAAGAGGGCAGAGCAAGCATAGAATTTTCTTAAAACTTTCTTTGAAACTTGGGAAGCATGACGAAAATCTCCGATCTTCAATGGAATGTGGTAAGGGATCATATACTCTCTAAGGTTCCATTAACATCTCTCAAACCAGTGAGATCTACTTGCAAGAATTGGTACAATTCATCCAAAAATCAGATTTTGGGTAAAGCAGCTGCAAGGAAGCAGTTTCTAGGGTTTGTGACGGTTGAATCTATGGTTTTTTCAATGGTCTTTGATCTCCAAGGAATCCGCAACAACGAAGAATTCGTTGATCCATCTGTAAAGCAATTAAGTAACGTCAAGATGTCTCATGTTTTTCACTGCGACGGCTTATTGTTATGCGTCACCAAGGACAAGGAAAGGAGACTCGTGGTATGGAACCCGTACTTGGGGCAAACGAAGTGGATCATACCTAGAAACGATTCCACCAAATATGACGTGTATACTCTCGGATACGACACCAACAACCATAACCACAAGATCTTTAGGCTTTGGTTTAACAATGGTGGTCGTGGAATCGAAATCTACGATTTTAACTCTAATTCGTGGAAAGTTCTTGATCTCACTCTCGACTTTTATATATGGTATCATGAATGTGAAGCCGTGTCTTTGAAGGGAAATACTTACTTTATGCTGTAAATACAGTACTCTGTTTTAATTTTTACAGCAGAGAGATTTGGACCGCGTCTTCCTCTCCCGTTTCAGTATTACGTTGATGATTTTGATACTATGGGATTGTCTTGTGTTAGAGATGAGCAGCTTTCTGTGTTATATGAACAGTATTCAACTTTCATGATTGAGATTTGGATTACGACTAAGATTGAGCTCAATGATTTATCCTGGAGCAAGTTTTTGAAAGTGGATACGAGACCTCTCCCGCTCGATTGGTTTTCGAAGAGTTTAGGTAAGGCTGGGAACTTCTTCATTGACGAAGAGAAGGAAATCCTCGTGATTTTCGATGGTTACGGATATAAAGCGACTGAGATAGCTTACATCGTTGGAGAAGATGGATACTTCAAATCTATGAATGTCCAAGAAACACCGTATGTCCGGAAACCTGACCCACCTACAGAGCAACGCTATATGGATCGAGATTTCAAGTTATCTTCTTATGTTCCAAGTTTAGTGCAACTACAAACAAAATAATTAGCAATAGGAAAGAACGAGATTTTTAGTTAGTTCCATCTGCAATCATTTATTTCCTTCTTGCATCATCTTCTTTTGAACAAGACAGTGGTTTAA